TATTTCTCTCATGGATGTTGTCATAGCCAAACATGAACAGACAAGGCAAAGCTACTATGAGAAAAAACAGAAAGAGCATAATGTTAGAGATTGAACTAACAGATTGGGAGAATAGAGATAGAATGATGAAAACTTGTCCCCATGTCCCCCAGAAGTCTAAGCCTATAGCAGCATATCTATAGAAATAAAACAAAATGCAACTCCTTTAATCTAGAAGCCACAGAAGGTAAAATGTTCAGTTACTTGTAACTTTGTCTCAGACTAAATCCAATTATGCAGAGCTTAAGGGAACTAAAGTGAACAAACATAATCATTTGGACGAAACGTCAGGTAGGTTAGGGATTGGGTTGTGGGGAGGTTTAAAGTAGGGTTAGCTTTTAAAACGTATCAGAAACTTAGACCATCTCACTAAACACAGTTGATTCCTTCGTTTCATTTCACCAATGGAAAATAAACAACATGACTACTAATGTGGCAAACAGGGTCCTGCTGGGATGAACGCTGAGTTTTTGTTCTATTTGCAAAATTATATGTATGTTGGAAAACTAACACTCTCCGATGTTAAACTTGGTGATGGTAGAGTGATGTGGTGCTCATGCATCTTTCAGTAACGGGAAGCTTGTCAGAGGAAATGAGAAGATGGATGAACCTAAATATAAGGTAATTCTGGCCATGATACCTATTAATAGCTTTAAAAGCCTTGATTGGCATGAAGATTATGCCTTCAAACAGAAAAATACTAACCATTCAGCATCAAATGCCATAAATATAAGTTTATGAATGCATTTTCACATGTTTAAATGGTTGAGTTAAAGTCCAGCTGTGAAACAATGTAGAATCTGTGTTGAGAATTTCTACTTGAATTTCTTCTATTACAGAACTGCAGCTTTTTCCTTTCACTTTCCTAATATGCATTAGTATGTGTGTATGTGCAACATAGAGTGCTCCAATAAAAGAAAATGTTAACAATTTTGACAGCAGCACAATTTATGGAGATCAGAATACCTAAAAAAAGGCTTGGGATAAACAAATACTATTGTGTATTCTCCTATATCAATCTTTGATTAAAACAAGTGAGAATAAAGAAGGTGTGACGTTTGACTGGTTCCTGCCAGTATCTCCTCTTAACGAAAGTTTTTTGCCACCACCCAAATAATAAACATGTTTTTACATGTAATAAGCATCCATTGTTTAACCACTGAGGGCTTTGTTCAGACAAGTTAGAGGAAAAAATGTGAGATTTGAAAATCAGATAATTTGTCTTTTTTTTTTAAGGTTAGCAATTAGAGGGGAAGATGGAGAGTTTGGATTTTATTAATAGTTGTTATAATTTTGAACATGTTTTAGGAATAAACATCCTTTTAGAAAAAAAACGTTTGCCCTCTATATTAACCTTCAGAAAAATAACTGCTTTAAAAACACTGAAAGCAAATTAAATAAACTCTATTCTGTATCTCTTGCACAAAAAGCTGTGGTTATACCTTAAAAAAATTGTTTTAGTTTTGTTTATAATAAGTGGAAATTAAGTCTGTCAGTTTGATATTTATTAAACAAAAAAAATTACATTTCTTGAAATTATGTTGCTGGTCTGTTATTTCCAGATTAAACACATTTAGGTCTTTTTTCATTTTACAAATTGTACAATATGTGTAAACAGAAATGGACTGTATGATCAATCAAGGTGTTGTGCAGTAATCTAGTTAATTTAAACCTTACTAGGATGAAAATATCCAAAGGTTTGGAAACCTTTGACTCATTGTTTGGTTGAGTCATGATGCTGTGATGTTGTCCGACCAGTAGGTGGTGCTGCAGTGTTGTTTATTCTCATTAGTGTCTCCTGTTGAAAGAAAACTTATGTTGTTTGTTTGTGTTTATCCAGTGATAAACCTCCCCCCACCCCTCCCTTATGTAAATAACCAATTCTTCTTTTTGGATCTTTTAAATCTTAAGTGTGAAACCGTCATCAGTGACTTTTGGTTTTCTTTAGTTGAATAGATTGTATCCTTTTGTTGACCTGCAGGAAGTCCTTCCCTACATTTCCTGTTCTCCGTGGTTATCAACTTCCTGTGCAGTTGGAAGAGAGAAGTTTGCAGAGTTCAGACCAGTTACTGAAGAACATTTTCCTTCACGTTTCACCTAAACATGACTTTATGTGTCTCAGAATGTAGAAAAAACTCATCTTTATTATCTAAACTGCCACTAAAACATGACAGTGGTCTGCCACCAGTGTTGATTACAACATCTCAGCCCTTTGGTTTGTTTGATAGCACGGTTATTAGAGGCCACACTGCAGCTACGAGGAACCCTGGAAGAACCGGCCACAACAACGGCTCCAGGTTTTTCTCATTAAAAAAAGCCGCTTTGTGTTGGGGTGATGATTTCATAATTGGCAGAGGACCAACAGGTCCCCTAGCAAACAAGCTTAAACTCACTGAACGCTGGAACGCATCCTAAAGGAAATGGGAGCCACCGCCAAAATGATGTGGTCATGGTTTGATAACATGTCTGCTTGGCAAGTGCTGCTGCTAAGGTCGTTTCACAAAGCCACCTACAAAAGGCCGGTCCTGTAATCCAAGTAATTCTATAAACCAAAACAAAACATTTTAAATCACAGAGGAATTTATCTCCCCCACACTTTGAATCTCTGACTAGATTAAAATGATTTGTTTACATTAATCAGCACCTCAAACATTACAACTATGGTCTATGCGACACAAAGAAGCACAGAAATGTGAATTATGATGCAGAAAATTATGGATTTAAATGTTTTTTATGAATTACAAATCAAAGTGTGCCTGATTGCATTCATATTCAGCCCCCTTGACCCTGATACCACCAGATTATAGTTAGTGCCAACATTTACCTTCATAAATTAGTTCAGTGTATAAATGGATTTCAGTATAAATCAGTTATGCCAACCACAGCTACTTTAGGGGAAGCAAATACTTTGCAGAACCATCTTCTGCTGTAGGGTTCAGTCTGGGGTATCCCTCTTCTAGCTTCAGATATTTAGAGCCTGAAATATTTCCTGTTTAGCCAATGTTTAGTTAGGATGGATTTAAAGAATCTGTGATCTGAAATGTTCTATTCTGGATACAGGTTCTGTGTATTTAGGTCTGAATTTTCCAACTTATTAACACACTACTAAATGCTACTTTGTAACCAACTGCATTATTTTTTTGCGACATCTTAAAGTTTCCTCCAAATCTTGATACCTTTTTTCTTACTTTAAATTTGTCATCAATAGGATCATCTGCAACATTTTGCCTGAAAAAACTTACTATATATATTTAAGGAGACTGGTTTTGATCAAATAACATAGTTTGGATAAACTTTCAGTCAAAATAGTGTATTAATGCACAGGATTAACTTTTAGTGTTATAAATGTAATGTCTGTTTCTAAAGATAACTATACGTATGTCTTCATTACAGATTTCCCCTCCTTTTTGCAGCACTGTTTCGAACATGATTTGTTCCAGTCTTATATATTTTTGCCAGCCTTTGACTCTGTTTTCTTTAGCTTCATCCATCTCATCATCCATCCAGCCTACCTTTCCTGTCCCTGCTTAAAGTCATAGGGAAGTTATATAAATGTCAAATCTTTCTGGCTTAAACATGTATATAAATGTATTCTTTATCAGACGATATTGTCTCAAAAATTACAAAATTTCTATTTAAAAAAGAAAAAAAAGTCCTGACTTAAAATATGTCAGCTTTTACACCTAAATTCGGCCAACCATATTTCAATGGTCATCTGTCAATCAAATTGTTTTCGCTCATAGCATCTTGATTCATGTCTCGCAGCTAATATATGCAACGGTTGAAATAAGAATAATTTCCTTTACCATTTAGTTCTGTCCCAGTGTTCACGGGGATGGACGTCTGTGTCTTCAGCAGGCGTAGAGCTAACAGAACTGGCAGCGTTGCAAAGCACGGGTTCAAACATGTACGGCTGGAAGCCTTCTACACCAAACCAAGCTTCTGCCTCCCTGGCGTCCTCTTCCGCAACATCTTCGTCCCGCTTTCCTCCTCTAAATAAAATATGTATGATGGAGGAGACTCATCCAGGACCTCCGACACTAAACTCTCCTCCTCTTGCATGTTTCCGCTGTCCATAGCGTTCCCTGACAGTGTTGTTTCTAAGTCACCAATTTAGTGCTACTTGGTCACAATGGAATTTGCCATTGGGAACCTACTAGCACTAAGTTGCTAACTGGTTAGCAAGATGCTTCCGACAAACTGGCCACAACTAAACTTGCTTGCCACAACAATCCTGCCCCCTTCATAATCGACCAGTCACATTCATTTTATTCACTTGAGTAAAGTCGTGCACCGCTCGGGAGAATTCAGAAATGCAACGGT